GAAGGCACAAGTTGTTACAAGAATTACATGAGGTTACAACCACATTTACCACGTTTCATTTTAATTAAATACATGTAAATCAAATGCAACAGAGTGCTCATCATTGCCCTAGTTACTTTATTGCTCTAGCACAAGAAGCCAGCCACCCATTGCCTTCTCCTGTACTTTGAATCTAAGCTGAAGGAAAAAACCCTCACAGTCTGTATAGAGTTGTGGAACATGTTACATCAGTTCTATTCAGATTATATATTTGGTGAGAAGACAGATGAAAGGGGAGGGTTTACTTCCTTACTTCTTCCCGTGTTATATGAATGTATGGGCTGATTGTCTGAAGAAAGCTATATAGTAAGTTGCTAGTTCTAAGAAATAAGCAAAAATGATAAAAAGGGCAAAACCAAACATCACATATTGATCCAAAACTAATTCTTTAACCATGTCCAACAGAAACATTAGGGACTATCAAAAAAGTAAACTAAAAATCATGTTGCACAAACTATACTAGGCACCTAGGTAAGAGATAAATGTGTGCCCCTCTATTTTCACATTATCAGAAATTCTAGAAACAAAGGTCTTCCTGTATGGGAAAACTTGGGCTGCTTTACTAATGGCTCAATGTCCAACCTGAAGCTTTGTGAAAGCACACAAATAGGATTGGAAGTCTATGAATCTATTACAGCAATATTACATTCCTGATAATCTTGCAGCAGACCTGAATTTGGAATTCTTGCCCTGATCCCAGGGGACTAACAATAAAAATTAAGGTGTTTCAGCTTTTGGTAGAGATGACACACACACACACACACACACCCCAGCCCAGCCCCTAACTCCTCTTCATATCTCCTGTTTTCCTTAATGTTACCTGCTCTTGATCTGCAGAGATGGCAGAGAAATCTGGCAAAAGAGCTCTCTGCAGTCCAGATTCTGCCGCCGTGGATTCCAGGACAGGAGAGATACCAGCTTCTTCATCAGAATACAGTCCAAGCGGAGAGGCAATTCCCTGGGCCATCACACAGCCAAGTGCTCTTCCTGCAAGAGCAGCAAAAGGAAGCATAGGCACTCCTGCAGGCTTCCCCCTTTATCTTCAGGCTCTTGACTCTTTCTAAATACAGCTTAGAACTACTGGAAGAAAATGTCTGCACTGCATACCAACCAGCAGCAGCTCCAGGCAGACCCCACAAGAGAGCTTCACCACTCAGAAGGTATTAGCAGCTGCCCCTTTCCCCTCACTGCGGCATATTATAGATGGTTTAGGGATTTAACGCGCAATTATTTTCCTAAACAACAGACCTTCATCCAGGCCCAGGCCCCTGTAGTATCATAGGTAGGCTCAAACCTATGGATTTTACTACCTAACCTGCAACATGTGAACGAGAAACCGTTTTTTTATTAAGGCGTCTATGTCGCGCTCACTCCTTTAATTCCGAAGGCGCTTAATAAAATCCGCGAAGCCAACCTGGAGGCCGTTACTGAAACCAAGGGGCCGCGTGGTCCCTCGTAAGCCCGGCGCTGGGAGCACCCAACCCTGGGACTTCCTCCAGCATAAGCGACGAGATGTAGTTCAAATGGGAGTCTCACCTGAGGCTTTCAGTTCCAGTCTCACCTTCCTGCTCGGCCGCCGCCTGCTCGATGAGCCACTTATATTTTCTTTTCCGACCTGTTTCAAACCTCGCGGCCAATCCGCTCAACCAATCAAAGAACGGGATACGCAGGAGCCAATCGCTGCCTGGGTCGCATCTACCGAAGAGCCAATCGAGTCAGACATTGCTTTCCCGTGCACGGGGCTCTTTTTGTACTGGGGGTGGGTGGGGGTGTTGGGTGAAGATTGCTTTGTTTCCTCGAATAGATAAAGCGAGCGCTGTGAAATCATGGGTTAAAGCAAGTCACATTTTTGCAATCAAAACAGATGCGATTGTCCCACGCCCACACAGTACTGTTCTACAGCCCACCATTTAACTCAGTTGAATTTTCAAAACTTGGCAACTTTAAGACCTTTGGCTTTTAAACTTGCAAATGGTGGCTGGGGACTTCTAGGAATGGAAGTCCACGCATCTTAAAAGTTGCCAAGTTTGCAAACCACGGTTTTAATTGGTCATGCTCCCGAAATTGCATTCTGGAAGCCATGTTGCTTTTGGACCCACCAGATTTGGAAGCAGGATCCTGGTCTTGCTCTCAGCAAACAAATATTGGTGGTCAGATTTATATTTTCATACAGAAGGGTCTTAAAATGAACATGAAATTGAAACCAGAGGTTTTCCTTTTAGGATTACTGGACAAGGAACTTGAAAAAAATGGAATTTTGTTACTGGGTCTGTTACCTGCAGCGAGAATTCTTTATGCACAAAAATGGAAAGGCCTATCAATTCCCATGATAGAAGAATGGATGGGGAAAAAGTGATGGAGGTAGCAAAGAGGGCAAAATTAACTGTTTTAATGGAAACTGCTTCTAGGCAAGATAAAAAAGAAATTGAAATCTTGAGTTTGAGATTTGCTGATTAGTTTGTTAAAAAAAAAAAAGCTAGTATTTGTGGGATCTTTGGTGTTGTCTGAACTTGGTGGTTTTCTTGCAGATATTACATCTGCAAACTAACAGTGTTAGGTGTGGGGTTTGCTCTCATTTTATATACTAGTGACTTACCTTGTCAGTGTTGGTAGGAGTGGTCTACGTGCTTCCTTGTGATATTGTTTGTTTCTTGATTGCTGGTCCAATGTTAAACTTTGCTCATTTGGGTGTTGATTGCTAGTTAAGTTTTTTTAATCTTTTTGTTTCCTTTTTGGCTTTTTGATTGTCCTTTTTATGATATACTTTCATTTCACTCTTTAAATTATGATATCATTTATTCACCTTACATTCCATGCAACTAATGGGTCCATCTACCAACAATTATGGCTTATGGAAGACATAATCTTTCATAAGCCATCATCGTTAGCAAGTGGGCCCATAGGTTTTGCCCTCTGTCCCCTGTGGAATCTCACAGCACTTTTTGGTAAGACAGAAAGGCACAGTCTAGGCTCTTCAACTACACCACACATGCCACTTTCTGCTTATTGTAAGGACTGTTCAGGTCACATTTTGGCCAGTATACTACAAATATACCCAAAAGCCAGTTTCAAACCAGACACATTCACACTATTTTATACATGCCGAGATCTTTGATCTACAGACTATCTGGCAAGTCTATGACTTCTTATCTGCATTCCACAAACACAATGGGTCAGTATATTGTATAAACAAAAAAGGGATTAATTTGGTAACCTAAGATTGGTATGTTCTGCAAATAGAGCCACAGAATAGCTTTGCATTATTTCTGTATTGTATTTCAAATGAAGGTCAGGCTAATTGCACCCACAGGGATTTGAAAACGTCACTGTACCACAAATTCTTGTTCATAATTATATTTTCCAGGAATATCTACGGCCAAGTCAATAACTGTGCCATAAGACCTGGGGTGGTGCAGTGGCTAGAATGCAGTATTGCAGGCTAACTCTGCCCACAGCCTGGCGCTCAATCCTGACTCACTCAAGCTATGGTACTTCTGCTGACTTCTGGCTGCAGTTCAATTCTCAAGGTTGACTCAGGCTTCCATCCTTCCAAAGTCTGTAAAATGGGGACACAGTTTCTTGGGAGCTATATGCTGACTCTGTAAACCACTTAGGGCTGTAAAGCACTAGGAAGCGGTACGTAAGAGTAAGTGGTATTGCTATTGCTAAGTGCTATACCTATGACTTCATTAGAGCCTAGACCGAGTGTCGGCAACCCACGGCTCCAGAGCTGCATGCAGCTCTTTCATCCCTCTGCTGCAGCTCCCTGTTGCCCTTTCACAGTAGAGGGATGAAAGAGCTGTCCCGTTGCAGCGGTGGCGATGGTGTGAGCAAAGTGCTCCTGCCCTTGCCTTTGCGCAAAACAGCATTCCACCTTTATTGCGGTACATTTGCTGTTGCTGCCTCCACAGCCTGCCTGCTGCTCTTGCGCCTTGTGCAGCAGAGTGAAATTTTGCACACTTTACAATGGGGGAGATGGGATCCCCTCCTCCTGGAGCCTATTACAACTCAGAGCCACAATACAACCCTGCGGTGGTGGCTCGCTGGCCTCCTGGATGTCAGTTACTTTTCCTGCAGAGCTGCCAGTGTTGTGATGCCCGCCTCCCTGCTGGTCTTTGGTTGCCCGCCAACCAGCTGATCATCAGTACACTGTTCCTGGGCTCATTGGCCTCTGAACATCAGATTCCCAACACCCAGCACTAGTTCAGGGGTTTATTTCCCACCCCATGTGGGGGACAGAGAGAGACAGAGAGAATGTGAGGGAAGGGGAGGGGACGAGGGAGGGGAAGAGAAAGGGGGGAAGAGAGAGAAAGGCAGGGAGAGAGGGAGAGAAAGTGAGAGAAAGAGAGGAAGGGAAAGAGAAGAGACAGAGATAGACAGGGGGAGGTGAGCGGCCAGTAGGCGAGGCTGGGTGTGACAAGAGATGGCTGGAAGAGGAGGGGCTAGGCGGAGCTAGGTGTTGCAAATAATTTAACCAGTTCTCTGCCCTAATGACTGGCTGTGAAGGTGTGACTGGGTAGTCATGTGACTGGGTCGGAATGAGTGATGTTGAGTTGGCCACACCCACCCAGGTTTTGTGGCTCCTGGTGGTTGCTGTGGGAAATGAGTCAAAATGTGTCTGAGTGTTTAAGGTTGCAGACCCCTTGCCTAAACAGTATTGCCTACAAGACGCTATTCTTATTCATAAAGCCAGAAATGCATATTTGGGCTACTTGGGGGGCTCATTTTTTATTTCCCAGATTTTACTTAAGAATTCTGAACCAAAAGATGATAATAATTTAAAAGCAAACAGTAAAATAAACACAATGTAGTACTTTTATTATTCACTAAGAAACCAATGAATCTCCAGATAATAAACAAGTCTCCCAATGAACAGAATAGGACACACATTCTATCATGAAGATTCTTAAGAAAAAAAAGTGAGGTGTCAGCCAGTGCTAAATTAGTAAACAAACAACTTTTTCCTTAGAACAAGACTTCAGGAAAGAAGGTTGAATTCTTAACTTCTAAACAGGCACCTGCCCTTTTCAAGTCTTCATCAGCACCTGCAGAAGAGAAAGAAAAGTAAAATTGCCCATGTTTCCAAGGAATTACAGTGTTCCAGGATGGTTTCAGGCTCTGCTATGAAAACATCATTTGTGTTTTATGTGAAGATAAGAGTTTCCACTGAGAATAAAAGTGATTCCTTAAAAACAGGCATATTTGTTTGTAGAAAGAGTTAAAGGAAAAGGCTTCAGGTTGAGATGAATGCCATTTACCGGTAGTCCTCGATTTATGATCACAATAGAGTTCAAAATTTCCATTGCTAAGCAAGACATTTGTTAAGTGAATTTTGCCCCATTTTATGACCTTTCCTGCCATAGTTGTTAAGTGAATCACTGCAATTGTTAAGTTAGTAACACGGTTGTTAAGTAAATCTGGCTTTCCCATTGGCTTTGCTTGTCAGAAGGACGCAAAAGGGGTTCACATGAACACATGACAGTGGAACCATCATAAGTACATGCCAGTTGCCAAGTGCCTGAATTTTGATCACCTGACCACAGGAATGCTGCAACAGTTGTAATTGTGAAAGCATAGATGGCTTTTTTCAGTGCCACCCTAACTTCAAACAGCCACTAAACGAATGGCTATAAGTAAAGAACTATCTGTATATTTGGGAGACACAAGCAGGGATACTGTTGCTTGTGGGGCAGATGATTGACATAGCACCATCTTTTGCTTTCCAGGCATGAGAACCTAGCAGAGGAATAAGGAATGTGATTTCTCCTGCTCGGAGATGAACACCTTACCTTCTCACAAATCCTTGCATTTCGTCTGAGCACAGGAGGGCCTCGCCCAACATCTGGAGTTGCTCCAGCACTTCGTGCTGCATCTCCACAGCAATGCGATGGATGTGGTGGTTGGAGTTATTGTACATGATGGCATTCTGAAACATCAGCATGAGATCGCGTTGGAACTGGACCATGTGCTGAATCTGGCCTTTGGACAGGCTTCTCTTTATGGAGGAAAGATCCATTGGTCTTCAGAAAGGCAGGAAAAAGCACAGAATTCAGCTTTGCGTAATAATTTACAGCGTTTGCAAAATAAAAAGGATGCTTCCCAGATCCTTTTCCGTTATCAATATCCCAGAACTAGTGAGAAATCAAATTAAAATTAGACTAATAAAAGCAAGTAGATATGAAACTGTCATTTGTGTTTACAAGATATCTAAACGTAGAACAGAAAACTAGGTTTTCAATAGTACTCAGCTTTTGATAAAGTAATAGCAATTCTAAATACATTCCCTTAATATTGTTATTTAATACTGATATTTATGATGGGCCCTTTCAAGTATGCCTACGATCAGTTTATGATTATACTGTTATCTCGGAGAAAATAATGCTGAAGCAAAAACTAATATTATAGCATCTTCAAGGCTACATCTATCACACTTTGGGGGTAAGCGACATTGTACCAAGGAAATACTAAGCCAAAGAAATTGAAAGCTTGACAAGAAAAAATAGCCAATATTTTAAGACTGATAAATATATTATAGCATAGGGTTTTGTGAATTACAATCCTTTCATCACCTTCATGAAGTGTCATTTTGAGACAAATGTGTGAAGGGATATAAGCAAAAAAGAGATGGGAGAGCAATAAGAAAATTGAATGTCTAACAAGGTACTTGCAAGTTACTTGCAAATAGGGGCAATTCAGGAAACAGTAGCTATGCTATGAAATCTCTTACATTATTGAATTGAGTAGCACGTGTACATTAATGCAAGCTAGGAGAACCCCACGTTTGTCACCCAAATAGTTCCCTTGATTGAAATATCCACTTTTTCATGGGAAGAAGTTCCACTATTTTTTTCTGAGAACCTAACAAACATAGAAGGGTGGCATCTTTACACTGGACTTCAGCCTGTCACTAGACTTCACTTTTCTTTGAAGTGACTCGTTCTCTCTCCTTCCCATCTCCAGAACTTTGGTTCATACCTTCTGAGTTAAATCTAGCCAGGTTCCACTATTTTCTTGATTTAAAAAAAAATCCTTCCCTTTCCGAAGTATTTATCAATGCATGAGTACGTATATAGAGGGGGAAGAGATATAATATTAGTACCAGTCAATGGTTAATTGCATATGCAATGAGAAAGCCATTCAAGCCAGAAAAGGGTGCCCAGCCTTGTAGTACAAATTCATATCCTACCTTTCGAAGAACTGATAGAAGAAAGTGAAAGGACATAATACAAAGCATTTCGTCTTTATTTATGACATGACATTACAGTAAATTAGTAGCAGTGCTTCTATATCCCAATAATTCCATTTCTTCTCTCCTACTTAAAAACAGATTTTCTTCCCCTGTTGCATTTCTTCCACAGCTATCCCAGTGAGATAACCCTATGTTTTTCTTTTATATTTGACAGGCTGCTTGCAATGCTCCCACTTCAGTTGCATAGTTCAGGAGAAAACACCTTGAATGCAGCTACACTAGGAGAATTATTGGAATTACACACTTCATATTTTTGCCTAAATAGTGCATGGGTAGTTCAAAGCATTTGGGGGGGTTGAAGGGAGTGGGAAAAAACTCAGTGGTTGGCATTGGTTTCTGAACTCATCTACTGGCTTACATACACTGAGCAATGGTTGGCTGAAGGTGAGGCCAAAGCAGGGGGAAAAGTGGATTAAATTTAAACTGTTTTAGGGATTACTTGGAAATGGAATGGGTGGGGGTGGCAAAGCTCTTGAATTTTTGGACACTCATAAGCAGTACAGGAGGAACAATTCCTTGCCATGACAAAATAGAAATCGGGATTATAAAATATATTGCACAGAGAAAATGATTTTTTTAATTTCTAAAGAAGGACATTCTCATAAGCAGTGGACAGAGACAGAGGAGGAAAAGCAACTGACAAACACATCCCTTACTAGCACTTCCTTTTCGCTCACTGACCTTTTGACCACATCCTTGTAACCAGGAGCCTGCTTCTCTGAAACCGGTTTCAGGAAGGGACCGCTGTATCTAGGGAGAAAGACCAAAAAGTGGGCTAGCAAACAAACTGCACATCCTTTCCTGTGGAGTTTGAATTAATAGTGAAAAGGCAGGAGGATGAAAGTCAACTCCTCCAATCAGCCCAGATTCGTTACAATAGCAGAGTAATATTTTGAATGTTGATGTTAAATATATCATTTCATGTACAAAAGCATCTGGAAGTAGTTTATGGAATATAAAATACACAAAACAAAAGCAGATTCCTCCCCAAAGCATTTCTTGAAGCATTCATAGATGGTCTAAATGGAAAAAAAAAAAAGAGCGAGATCAATAAGCACTTAAAAAATGTAAGTTTGGATCTCACGGATTTCAAGAGAGACAGATTCTCTCAATCTCAAAAGATTCACCTAATCTCAGAGCACACAGTAGAACCTCCTCTCATGTTAAAAGTTATCAGTTTTGCAAGGTGAAGATGGTTCACCAGGTACCTTGTATAGGGCTTTGATACATAATAAGCAAAAACTTAGAAACTGGTTCAATAACTAACTGGTCACACCAGTTAAGGACATGACACACACTTTCTTACAGATCTCTACTCTAGATGATTTTTTTAGTCGTCATCTCAGTGGTCAGTAGTTTCACTAGTTTAGCTGTTTACCTATGACCAGCAACCATCTTCCAGATAGATAACAGAGTTTTCTTGAAGAGCAAATGCTGTTGAAGTGGATCATCTTGGCTCAAGTGCATCCTGGATAGAAAAGAAATCAAAATGATTCATTTGCATTTGTGAATGGGAAAGGAAGAGGGCAGGAACAATAGATGACAAATCCTTCCATTAAAAAATGTAATCTTATGAAGCTCAGAAGCATGCTATTTCTGTCACAGCTCCTACCCTCTGGAACATCATCTCCTCCCCCCCCCCCCCCCCCCCCCCCCGATAAGATTGGAACCTACCCTCTGGTCTTGGGTGAAACATCAAAGGCCTGAATGTGCTCCAGGGCTTGGGAGATGGAAGGCTTCAGTGTCAGGTTTTTGCCAATTGTTTTATTTGGCCAGTGTGGGCTTTTTTTTATCCTTTGCTAATATGATTTTTCCTATTATTAAATATTTACCTGTCTGAGTCACTTTTGGTTAGTTATATAAATTTATTTAGTAAATAAATGTATCAGTAAGATGAGCGGTGTAGAAATGTAATAAACAAGCAGCACTTTTTAAAAATGCATATGAAATGTGCTAATTCAGCTACTAAACCTAGCAATAGTTTATTCCTTTACTGAATAGAGTTGTACAACTCAACCAACCTACATAATTGTTCTGATTCAAAGCTGTTGCTGCAGTTGCATATAACCTGTTGGAACCCACTTACACAAAAAACAGTCGTTTTCTAATAGCACTCTTCACTTCAGATTCTTGATAATCTTTTCTCCCTCCTTTATTGGTCAGAATGTTTATAAAATAGCCAAATTCCCCCTTTTTCTAGAGAGTTTTAGGCTGCAATACCTACTTATCTAAGAAGATTATCCTATTGAATTCAGTGGACATGTTTCTACATAGATAGGTATAGTGTTGTGCCATTTAACTTAAAGTGGCAGGCATAAATTAGAGAAATAATTCCATTCAGAATCCATGTCACCATTACTTACAAAGGCAGGGAGGCTGTACTTGTGGAAGGAGAGCTTATTAGGGGTGTTCCATAAGGACTGGAGTCGTCATTGCTATAACTCAAATGGAAATCACTGTCTTTCCAATCCTCAGTCTGATCTTCAGTATTTTCCACAGCCGCCTCCTGATGATCACATAGTAGGAATTAACCTCTTGACAAAATAACAATAGGAATCCTAAACCCCATGAAATTCAGCCATGAAGTTCCAGCATGGAAAATGCACTCCTGTGGGAGAAGTAGTGCCAAATACCTCAAAGGAGTTGGTAAAGTGCCCACCCCTCAAAAAAATTAAGAATTAAAAATTTAAAAAATTAAGAACTTTATAAATTCCTTAGAGCTTAAGAACTACCATTCCTTAGCTAATATATGCTTTTAGGGAAAGGGGTAAAGATTGTACAATTGCAGGCACTCTGGAAAGAAATGGATTATTCCTCAATTTCATCCACTCTGGGTTGTTTTAGTTTATGGAGTTGAATGAGCCTTGTTCGGCCATATAAGACAATTTGAGGAGTTCCGGGCACCATATTGTAATGTTCCTGTGCCTTCTTATCGAGATATGTTCAGATGCAAACATAAATGATTGTAGCTCAGCCTCTTATAGTTGGATGTAAGGTTTCGCAAGGATTCCATTCTCTCTTTCTCTTTCCCTCCCCCTCTCCCCCTCCCTCCCTCTCTCTCTTCATTATAAGATTTGGAGTTTAGTGTTACACTAGAAGTATGCTGATGATATCCTATCCTATTTCTTCATACTATCAGTTGAGTTAGGAAAGGCTGAACTAATTGTGCAATTAAATGAACACCAGATGGAGGCTTTATGAAAAGGCAGTTCCCCTCTTTAGAAATCAGGAAGCTGTAGGTAGGGTTGCATTCTCCCTAAAGAGCTAGTGTGTAATCAGGTGTGTGTGTGTGCATGTGCGTGTGTGTGCGCGCGCATGCACGCGCGCTCCTAGAACCATCATCTTGGTGGAAACACAGTGGTCTCTCTGACATGGAATGTTTTCCAGTTCTTAGTGCTGTACCATTCAAGGCAACCGGTCCTTGATAAGAATAATTTGGCCACAGTGATCCATTCATTGGTTACCTCAAGATTATTGCAATGTGGTGCATGCAGGATTACTCTTAAATTGCCCCTGAATCTGCAACTAATCCTTGCAATCCTTGTATGTCATTTATAACGACATACAAACATTGTCTAGATCTAGTCATTTAACCAAATGGCTTGACCAATCTAAGTTATATTTAGGAGGTTCCTTGGAAGGTACCACATCTATGAAGCAGTCCAAGGTAATCATTTCCAACCAGCTTGGTTGTTTGTGGACAGGAAAACATATTTTCCTGTTCAGATGTTGGTAATGTCAATGCCTTAGATTTTGGAGTCCCTTATGTTTAGGATATTTGTATTCATTTATATAATACGGGTATTACTGTCCTGCATTTTAGAGCTTTTTATGTTAAGATATAATTTTCCTATATCATGTTGAATCACAAATATTTTAATAGACTCCACACCCCATTGGAATTACCTTTAATAATGAAAACACAACTAGTGATTTTATATATAAAATAATAATAAATACATCCAGCTGTCACTTTTTTTGCTCTCACTTTTCTTTATCCCACTACTAACACACTATTATTTTCACTTTTCCTTGGTTTGTACCTGGCTGGGTTTCTCTATATTTGTCTTTTCAAAAGAACACAATTTCGCCCTTCATCCAGTGAAATGAAAGCATTTCTCATACAATTGGTTTGCCTCAACATGGAACTTACAAGGGTTCAAAAAACTCTTTTAACCCCGCCACAAAACATGCTTAAGGAGGGCAAGATGGGGCAGCCAAACAATGTCTTTTGATTGACAGCTTTGGAGCTGGATATTTAACAATCCACAAAGGCAAAAGGTAAGATTCTCCAGTGATCATCCAACCCAAGTAATCCATCTACCTATAAAACAATGTTCTGAGCAAGCCATAGCTTACCATTCTAGTTGGTGGCATCTCTTTCTTCCGTATTTTCCATTCACAAGGAGTTTGGGTCATAAGTTGTAAAGTTGAGGCGTCATCTACATCCGTTTCTGCCGTATCGGCCATCAGGTAGTGCATGACTTTCGTTTCTGAATCCTCATCAAGCTGGCTATCCTGAAACCTTGAGCATCCAGGCTCCTCACTCAAACCAGGATGTCCTTCCATGGCCTCCACTTCCAAGTTCACAACCGGCAGTCCTTCTAAGGTCTGCAGTGCCCAATTTCCCCTTCTCTCCTTAGCTTGCTTTTTAAAAATCTCTGAATGACTTCCTTGCTCTTTGGCTACAAGTGATCCTTTGTGAGCCACGGCAAGCCTCCCATTCTGCTCTCCAGCACCAGAGAAAACCTGAGATCCCTGTGCCAAGTAAGAGTTGCTAACACGAACGGGCTCCATTAAATATGTCACCTGGAACAGAAGATAAGAAATTAACAGCTGAGGCTTGTAATTAAAACCACTCTCAGAAAAGCACACCTGAGGTTATTTTTCTTTCAGATATTATGTTCTTTCTTCTTAATGAGCATGCTTTGCAGTGACACTGAGACCACATCCCTAATGTGGCAATTTCTCTCTCCTCCAGCCCTCCAGGATTTGCACAGCAGGTATCTGTTGTCTAAGCCCTAAGCGTTGTTGCCAGTCTTGCCCAAAGGGCATTCAGCTGAGGCTGGCTAAAGTGGAATAACATATGTGCTTCTCAGAGATTAGAAAACTTTCCAGGTCTCCTGAAAATTATTTAGTGTCCAGGTGCTAAAAAAAGGCCAATGTATTAAATTGTCATAACAGATTGCATAAGATTGGAAAGAAATCTCACAGATTTCAGCAATTTTTATTTTTATTTTGGGAGAGTTAAAAGTACCTTGGGGATCCACTGGAAGCCACTTTGCTAACCCCTGATAAATATATATATATATATATATATAT